AGGCGTTTGATTTTCTTGTAGCACCTCAGTATTAGTACCTCAATTCACCGAGACAATGCTAAATAAAGTTGACGATTTCTGTTGTCTTTTATGATAAACTTCTTGTTCTTTCCTCTCTGAATGTGGAACTTTCTACTCTACATTTAATACTTTTGATGTATGTAAACTGTAAAGTGTACATGTATGATTTTCAGGTGGCAAGGGTCGTTTTGTTCATGTTCTTCTTCTACCACATTTTTATCCATTATGATCAGGTTAGTGCTTGTTTACTGGCTAATAATTATCATTTTTGTACCTTCATTCGTAAATGCTAGTTTATTCGATAATCTGAATATTGCTGAGATCCCAAACTTTCGTCTTAAGCGTAGTCTTCTTGTCAATTCTGATAAATCATTAGTTTATGAGATAAAGTGGCTTAAATCATTTATCGTGACATTAACTAAGGGAATTATTCATTTCTTCCAGCATATGATTGCCAATGTTTTATAGAGATAATAACAAGAACTACCCTTTAAATTTTGAATGGATTAGAGAATAATCAAGTAACTTTAAAAAACACACACACAAGAAAAAAAAAAAGAAGAGAAAATAATAATAATAAAGTGGTTTGATATGGTCTCATGTTCGTCTGCCCCAACTATTAGTTGACCCGACAGAATTTGCTGATAACACAAAGTGTGTAGCAGTTACACCACAAACTTTTCAAACTATCACAAATGGCCCCACCTTTTCATTCGAGTAGTTTCAAGTTTGAACATTCACAATATATGATGAGAATGTGAAATGTAAGATTGATAGCATAAGTAATCTTTTGGCATCCTGAAAATATTCAGTATATTTATTCATATTACTGAAATTCTCGAAGTACAAGATCACACAACACGCATTCTAGAATTCAGAAAAGTACAAATTTGGGATGCCATCAACCATCAAAATAGTTGACTGTAAATGTTTCGTAATTACTAGTGTAATAAGTGTTTAACGTGCTCGTTTTTTTTCCAGGTCAAGCAGATCTTCCCATTGGGTTTCTACAGCTTGTTTACGGTACCTGCAGTGGTGTCACTAATGAACTGTGTTTTGGTTCTGGAAAATCACGAGAGGCATGGTGAAAACCTTGAGAAAGGCTAGACACAGCAGGTAAATTTTAAGGTTGGCCATGGTGAAAACATAGCTTCTCGAGTTTTATACGCTTGCAACTGTAAATTTTTATTTTTCCACATTTAAAAAATTTTTCATTCGGCAGGCTGATGAGCAATTTGTCGGCAGATCGATGTAAAATCTAGACATTGTCAGACTGTATGATCGTGTTTATACATTTTTATCAAATATGTGTACTTTTATATACAATGACATATTTAAGCATCATAAACAAAAATTATATTTTAACCGTTAGGCTGATTCATACCTCATACAAGAATTTGTGTGTTCTAATGTATTTTTTAATCAATCTAAGATAAAAAAATATATATAAAATCTATATTAAATAAGAGGAATTTTATTAGATGTGCTGCAAGTCTGAAAGGTAGTTGGGCAATTTAATTTGGTTCATAGTTAGTTGAGTACTTTAATTTAGTTCATAAGTTGACACTTGGATGATATATAACTTCAGTCTAGAATCTAGATAACACATTTGCAAATTTAAGGGTTGTGTTGAAACAAAATAATTTTTGATATATACGTTGGTTGATTGTATGTAAATATATTTTAACATTCATTCTTTTGGTATTTCACAGAAACATTTTCGTAAAAAAGATCAAATTTTTAACTTTAAAACTCTTAAATGTATCAGATAATTCATTTCATGAGACAATGACAGAAATAACAACGAAATAGATTTTTNCAATGATACAAAAAAGTTGAGTGATCTTAGGTTATGGGCTTATGCCCTTATGCCTTATGGGAATAGATTGAATATTGGAATTAATTGTGATCAATTGGAAAACAATAGTCAAAAGTGGAAACCTCATAAAGTAGATGGATGGTGGATGAAGAGGACCCCTACACTACACTACAGTACACGAAGATATTATCATGCTCTTGTTTTGGATTTAGTTGATAGAAGATAAGTTGATATATAGGTATTACATGTATTTCATATTTAAGCTTATTTTTCTAAAACTCTTCTTTTTTATTTTTTTTCATAATTAGAGTTTTGAGTACAAAAAACTAATAAATAAACTTGTCACCAAATAGTTAATTAGTGAATTTGACTGGTCAGACCTTTAAATGAGGTCCAGCATGCTAATTTAGCACAAATTCTCTAATTAACAAATGAGTTTTTTTATAAATAATAAAAAATATTTGAATTTATATTTAAATATTGGTTCTATTTTTTTAATTTAATTTAAATAGCTTAATATAAAAGGCAAAACATTTTTAATTTTGCAAATCGAAGTACGCATTCAACAAACCCACTTGGAGAAGCTTATACATATGACTCATTATTAGACACTAGTACAGAGCCCGTGCGATGCACGGAGTGCACAATTTTAAGGCTATTTATTCAGACTTATAATTATATACATGAATAAAGAAAAATGTACGGAATATATATAGTACGTGACCCGCGAGATATATTTATTTGGAGAATATTATATTATAAGATGCAATATTCAATAAAAGTTTATAATACGCAAGAAATTGTACGATGTTCAATAAAAATTTTATAATATTCAAATGGAGTCTTAAAGTCTCTTGTACATTAAGACTACTGACAAAATAATATTTTAATCAATGAGTTTCATTTCCTTGTAGCCAAATTGTGAATGTGATTTGAGGAGTACAACAAATCGATATATAGCTGACTTGTTTTTTTCATTGTAGTTTTTTTTTCTTTTTTTTTATAATGAATTTAAAGATATTCTAAAATATAGTAAAAATTAATTTTTTTATTACATTTAGGAATTTTACAAAATATAAACTCTCAATCTATGGTGTTAATCAACGTTTAAGTCTAAAAAATTAGGAATTTTTAACTCTTTTAATCAACGTTTAAGTCTAAAAAACAATAGAGTTATTATAAGTTTTTTTTTCTACATCTTTTAAAATATTAAATATGAGCATATTAGGGCTAGCTTGTAAAATAATTAATATATTATCTCACTAAAATATTTATACTAATAAAAATTTAATTTTAGCATATAAATTTATCCCTTGATATAAGAGAAAGTAACAGTTTTACTTATTGTTGTTCACCATATAATATTTAATTATTATTTTATTATGTAATAAAAAAGAATATTGTTAAATAGTGTAGTAGAATTGTTAATTATTATTATTTTTTTTTACAATATGGATTTAATATTTTTTACGATTTGATAATATAAACAAATCTATACTTAACTTTGACAAATAAAACAAATAAATACTTTGATAAGTATTTAGGAGGGTGTATTCAATTCGGAATTTAAGTGATATTTTAAAACTTTTCGAGATTTGAGACTTTCTAGGATTTTCAGATTTTGGAAGAATTCTATGAAATCTCAAGTTCGGAGGTAGGATTTGAAGTGGGATTTCATATAAGGTTTTTTGTTTAGAAATCCCACAAAATCTTAAAAAGTCTTAATAAATCCTAGTGTCAAAAAAATTAAATACCTCAGGATTTTGTAAGACTTTTGAAAATCCCAATTGAATACCCCAGGATTTTTAAAAGTTTTAAAAAGTCTTAACAAATCTAAATTGAATACACCAGGATTTCTAAAGTCTTAAAAAGTCCTTAAAAATCCTAATTAAATACACCCCCCTTAATGTATACTAAATAGGAATATATTTGGTATAATCAAATACCAAATATAATCAAATAAGTCAAAGTGTACATTTTTATTTGGTATTTAATTTTTTTATTATTAAAATCTTTTTATAATACTTACCTTTTTAAAATAAAATAAATAAATAAATCAATTAAATAAATAAAATATTATAATACCAAAATAGTAATGACATTTAATGCAGTTGACTTTTCTGGATAATAAATGTAGTAAATAGAATATCTTTTTATATAATATAATACGGAAATAGTAATGCAATAAATGCTGTTGACTTTCCTAGCTACTTAATTTGGTAAATAGTACCCCCTTTTATATAAGTATAGATGAACATGAGAATAATGACACCAAAAAAAATAAAAATTTAAAATAATAATAATAATAATAATAATAATAATAATAATAATAATAATAAATAAAAGAAAAATACATCCCAACAATCAACTATCATAAGCTTATACACATGACTCGTGAATTTTCAACAATTTAATCAAGATTGAAGGTCAACAATTTTAAGGCTATTTTCAACATAAAAGTACAGAGCCCGTGCGATGCACGGGGTACACAATTTTAAGGCTATTTATCCATGTTTATAATTACATACATGAATAAAGAAAAATATACGAGATATATATAGTACGTGACCCGTGCGAAACACGAAATATATTTATTTGGAGAATATTATATTATAAAATGCAATATTCAATAAAAGTTTATGATACGCAAGAAAATTGTACAATGTTCAATTTAAGTTTTATAATATTCAAGTGGAGTGTTAAAGTCTCTTGTATATTAAGACTACTGACAAAATAATATTTTAATCAATGAGTTTTCTTTCTTTGTAGCCAAATTGTGAATGTGATTTGAGGAGTACAACAAATCGATATATAGCTGACTTGCTTTTTTCATTGTAGTTTTTTTTCTTTTTTTTTTATAATGAATTTAAAGATATTCTAAAATATAGCAAAAATTAATTTTTTTATTACAATTAAGAATTTTACTAAATATAAACTCTCAATCTATGGTGTTAATCAACGTTTAAGTCTAAAAAATTAGGAATTTTTACCTTTTTTAATCAACGTTTAAGTCTAAAAAATAATAGAGTTATTATAAGTTTTTTTTTTCTTACATCTTTTAAAACATTAAATATGAGCATGTTAGGGCTAGCTTGTAAAATAATTAATATATTATCTCACTAAAACATTTATACTAATAAAAATTTAATTTTAGCATATAAATTTATCCCTTGATATAAGAGAAAGTAACAGTTTTACTTATTGTTGTTCACCATATAATATTTAATTATTATTTTATTATATAATAAAAAAGAAATATTGTTAAATAGTGTAGTAGAATTGTTATAAAATTATATGATTTTTTTTTTTAAAATATGGATTTAATATTTTTTTATGATTTGATAATATAAACAAATATATACTTAACTTTGACGAATAAAACAAATAAATACTTTAGTAAGTATTTAATGTATATACTAAATAGGAATATATTTGTTATAATCAAATACCAAATATAATCAAATAAGTCAAAGTGTACATTTTTATTTGGTATTTGATTTTTTTATTCTTAAAATCTTTTTATTATACTTACCTTTTTAAAATAAAACAAATAAATAAATCAATTAAATAAATAAAATATTATAATACCAAAATAGTAATGACATTTAATGCAGTTGACTTTTCTGGATAGTAAATATAGTAAATAGAATCTCCTTTTATATAAGTATAGATTGTATAATACGAAAATAGTAATGCAATAAATGTTGTTGACTTTTCTTTATACTAAATCTGGTAAATGGTATATCTTTTAATATAAGTATAGATATATAATAAGAATTACTATTTACTACATTTAGCAAGTAATTCCCACCAAAAAAATTAATTGTATACTATAAATAGAAATAAAAGATGGAGCATTAAATGCAAAAGTCAATTTGTTAGGTCAACTGTATGAATCTTGCCAGCGTTCTAACCATGTTTTCAAAAACAGTTTGTACAAAATTTTGTGATGCTTATTCTTAACATAATCTTAATAATTATTTTATAAGTCCAACCCATAAACATAAATCTAGGCGTGGATAGCTAAGTAAAAAAAAGATAATTTTTTAATTGAATAAGTAGTTCGGCTATAGATTTTCAGACTAGCTAAATTTGAACTTAATTGAATAAAAGTAGTTCGGCCATAGATTTTCAAAATATTTTGTACGTCTTTTTTAATGAAAAATATTTTGTACGTTATTTTTAATGATAATTCGGGTATCTGAATATTTATTATGCAAATTACTAAACATAAAAAAAAAACCAATTTCCAATACATTTTGTACTCACGTGACCTGTTTTTGTATCATAATTCTGGTATCGAAATATTTATTATGCTTGCTCGACGTGTACTTGCAAACAGAAACTAATTTTTAAACTATGTTGCACTCATATCTTTTTGGGAAATATGCTCGGCGTGTACTTGCGCTCACATCTTTTTGCTAACGGTAAAAAAACTAATTGCGTGTATCCAAATCCATGTTTTATGTTCTTTTATACAAGATAATTTTATATTATTTACAATAAAATATGTTCGACTGTTGCCTCCTTAGCATTATTTGTAAATTATACCACGCGTTAACCTATATTATTATTTAATATTATTTATTTACATCTTTAATTTATAACTAACATTTAATATTGTTTACCGTGCATCGCACGCACTACACACTAGTTATATATATAACGGCACCTTTTTCAAAACTGGTAAAACAATTAAGGCTCAATAAACAAAAGGTAGTCAAAGAAATCGTCGGGGGAGGAGCATGTGGAGGAATTCGGCTGCGAATTTGTTGAAACGGGCGTCCAAGTGAAGTGGGCTACCCGACCCGCCTGGACCGAACCCACTCCCCGAACCCGCCACTTCTGCAGCTCCGCCGGCGGCGGCGGCGGCGGCGACCGGGGGGATGGACAGAATGCGATGACGCACGCGGAGGCGAAAAGGCTGATGAGGCTGGTGAACGTGGAGGAGCTCAAGGAGAAGCTGGGCGTGGAGAGGAAAGAGGTAATTCCCTACGCCGAGCTTTTGAAGGCCTGTGAGGGCATCGGCGCGGCTAATTCGGCCGACGAGGCGGCTGCCTTTGCCAGAGTCCTCGACGAGGCCGGCGTCGTTTTGCTTTTCCGGGACAGAGTCTATCTCCATCCGGATAAGGTTTGCTTTTACTGTGGAAACTTTTGCGTTTGATTTGTTTTTTGCTGTCGTTTTGTATGATTGTTTTGTGGGGTTTCGGAAATTGGGGAAGTTGGGTTGAATGAGAAGGAATTTGCAGCATAAACAAGGGAAGGGTGGAATTTGTTCCTTCCTTACATTTTGGAGATTTTGATTGTTAATGGTAATAGATTGTTCATCATGTAGGATTAGGTTTTTTCATTGCTGCTCGAGCTGACTTTTTGAGGCTGGACAAAAAATATACTAATGCTCGACATCGACTCGAATTTTATCAATTTGCATGAGTTCAGCTCGAATTTTCAATAAGAACTTTCATTCATTTTTTCTCAAAGTTGGGTTGAATGAGAAGGAATTTGCAGCATAAAGGGGTTCAATTTCTTTCTTCCTTACAATTGGGGGATTTTGACTGTTAATGGTAATAGATTGTTCATCATGTAGGATTAATGTTTTCATTGGCTCGGTTTGCCTCGACAAAAAATACTCGCGATCGACTCAAATTTTATCAACTTGCACGAGTTGAGCTCGAATTTTCAATAAAAAAACTTCCATCCATTTTTCTCAAAGTTGGGTTGAATGAGAAGAAAATAAAAAAATAGTCGAACACATCAACAATTTCCATTTTAGCTCCATCAAACACTACTTTTTCACGATCCTTCATGCAGGTGGCGGATTTGGTTAGAAGGGCATTTCCTCTTTCACTTTTACCCGAAGAAAACTCGTGCAAAAGACGAGCTCAGAAAACTTGAGGAGAAAAAGGAGGAAATCGACATGCTGGCCCACAAACAGGTCCGCCGCATATTGTGGGCCGGGCTGGGCCTTGCTATGGTGCAAGTCGGGCTTTTCTTCCGACTGACCTTTTGGGAATTATCTTGGGATGTAATGGAGCCCATTGCATTTTTCACGACCACAAGTAGCATAGTATTAGGCTATGCTTATTTCTTGTTCACCTCAAGGGACCCGAGCTACCAGGACTTGCTCAAGAGGCTCTTCCTCTCGAGGCATAGAAAGCTCGTCAAGAAATATAATTTCGACATTAAGAGGTTTGTGGAATTGCAGAGAATGACCAAATTGCCCCTCGAGTCGTGCGCAGCCATCAAGAGGCGGACGGGTAGAATTGGATCCGGAGGACCTTTTACACAATCATTGATTTTTCCGGGGTTTTATTTTATTGACACGTTTTTGCTGGTGTTTTTTCGTTATCTTTCGAAAATCGATCAAAAGCTTTCGTCTTTTTTTGTTCGAGGAGTGCTGATGATGGTGATGGTAATTTTGATCAGAGTTTTTGACAATTTCTGTTATAATTTTTTTGTATATGATGCTTTTTTTGGCCTAATGTATTCAAATTTTTCTCACTTGATATTTGGCTTTGCCTTGAATTAGCCCCTTAAATTGTTCTTTTCACCTCTCAAACTCACATGCAGATACAACAATGAAAAGAAGGGATGATGAAATACTTAGGGCTTGATTGTTTACCAATTAATTTGCTCACATTCATTTTATACTCAAAATTTAGCTCAATTTTAACCAACTCTACTATCATTAATATTATTTATATAATTAAATAATACAAACCAATCATTATAACACATCACATCAACTTCAATTCACTATTCATCTACTCACATAATTTTAACTACCTATCATTTCTAATCATTTATCTCATACTTTTACATCAAATCAATATTAATCATTTTATTTTAAATATTATTTTAATATATTTTTTAAAATTCCACTAACAATTAACCATACAACTTTTTTCAAAATTAATTATAGTTAACCAAAACAACTCATTTGGAATGGATTATTTGGTAAACAATCAAGCCCTTACTTTTAGAAATTGAAAAAAATAAAGTGAAAATGAAAATTAACTCACAAGAAACCATCCAAAAAGGATATTTTGCCTCAAGTAATAGTTAAAAATTAAAATACATTTTGGTTTTGGAGATAATGAACTACTTACCACATTCACAAGAAAAGGTCAGTTATCATGTTGCACAAACCGACCACGGCCTATATACCGATTATTAAATATTTTCTCTTTGTTATGTTAATATATACAATCAATAATCATTAATCAAAAATCAAATCCAGCGTCAATTGAGTGAGATATAAATATTCATTAATTTCTTTATGTTATAATCAATACAATCAATATTTATTGATCGAAAATTAAATTTAGTGTTAAACAACTAAGAGCATCCACATTGGTTACGTCTTATGTGAATCAGAGCATCTCCAATTATAAAATGTAGTTGTAGTAAATTACACTTTATATTAACAAATTTAGCAATGTCTCCACTTTTAATTCTACAATGCACAATGTAATCACTAATATAGTGATGGGGTGGACATAATTAATGTCCACAATATAGAGGAGAATGTGGTTCATCCACATTCTAATCAACCAATGAGAGATGAAAGAGAAATACTACTATCATTTTCAAAATATCTAATTATTTAATTTTTTTGTTTCTTATTCATATATATTTTTTTTTTTGCCAAGTGTACAATATTATATTTGATCACATTGTGCATTGTAGATAGCTTTTTAGATAAAAAGTTGTGAACTTAATAAATATATTATGTGATTCACAATCCATCTAAATAATTGACATTTGTCAAGATATATGTGATAACAACATTAATGCATTGGAGATGCTCTCAATGTTTAAATCGATGTGGATAGTTGTCATCACATATGTGAGGTGAATTGGTAAATGATATTATAATATTAATTCTAAAAAAATTTTTTGAAGAGAAATGTGTGAATGAATTCGATTCATGCATATAATATAATGAATAACAATGTTAATCTAATGTGGATACATGTTAAGAATAATAAGGGTTGTCAATGAAAAATTGATTTGTTTCATGGGTTTTACAAAAGAACACAAAAATGTGTTAAATCTACTCATATTGTACAATCATATGCCTAATGCCTTGTCACAAATGAAAGCAAGAATTGAATTGTATCCCAAAAGAATATACAAAGAGTGGAAGGACCAATAGTTAAATTATCCACTTCAAAGCTTCTCACTTTATCTTCTCAACCCGAGCAAGCGCTGAAGAAAAAGGAACAGCACAGCAATGGCGGCATCTTGTACATTGAGTCTCTCCTCTTTACGGGCTGCCCTCCCTTCTATTACCGCATCTCCTGCGGGCCCCACCGTGTATTTTCCTAATGGGAAGCGCCCTTCCGGGCTCAAGCTGTCGAGGCCCAAATCCGGCCCGAAACCTCTCAATTCTTTTTCGGGTCTCACTCCTTTGAACCTGATTTCACCCTTTCTATCTCAAGGTGCGGTCTTCTTTTTGCCCTTTTTGTGATTCGGTGTGTGAAGTGTAGAAATCTTGGTTTGCTGGACAGTTGCGATGCTTATGCTCGTGTTCGAGCAAATGTATCAACGACAAATCTAAAATTTGTTGCTCTGTGAGGGTATGAATGGCCATAGGACGTTTTCTGTTGTGAAATGGTTGTTTTTTCTGTTGAGTGCAGATGTGTTGTTCCAAAAAAATTGGGTTTTTTTTTTGTTGATAAGATATGTTCTCTCTTTTATTTTCTTTGATAATCTCTGTTGACATTGTGCAGTTACAATTTTTTTCTGTTATACTGAATGCTTGTTACTGTGTGTCAAATGAGTTTGCTGGACAGTTTCTATGCTTATGCATGTGTTTTGCTAATGTCTCAACGAGAAATCTAAAATTTGTTGCTCTGTGAGAGTATGAATGGCTATAAGATGCTTTTTTATGGGAGATGGTTGGTTTTTCTGTTGAGTATAGATGTGTTGTTTCAATCTATTTTTGTTCATAAGTTATATATCTTCCCTCTTTTATTATTCTCTGTTGACGTAGATTGTGCAATTATAAACTTTTTCCAGTTTAGTAAATACCTGTGAACTCTGTGGGTCGAACGGAAAAATCTCTGCAATTTCCACTTTTCTGCTGGATTTTGCCGTTGAAGTTAGAAATAGTTTAATAAATTACTTGCACAATCCCATGAACAATGACAGAGCATAGTTTGCAGGCTTGAAGCAAGCATTATATGAAACATCATATAGGTCATGACAATATCTTATTGAATAAATAAGATGGATTGATAGGTTTTATATGCATGACCTGTTTGCATAGTCGCGCATGTTCACTCATGTAATGATCAATGGATTCAAAGTGTTGATGCAAATCACTATCGATTTTGTTCTATAAGCTTCTCCTATCTCCTAATAAAAAGTTACAAGAAAAACCCATCTCTATTCTTGTATATATATGTGTTTTTTATTACACATCAATTCAACGAAATTTACTATACGTTCATTCTTGCTCTTACACCGTATTTCTGCAGTTTCATGTTTAAAAAACATTGCTCGAATTCAAATTCAACTATAAAGTGTTGTGCTTGATTTGACTGTGCTTAAATTTGTTTCTCAGTACGTATAGTTTGACTGTAAATTCTCAGATTTGACCAGATACGAGCACAGCTTCCCCATGTTCAGCAACGGGTCCCGATTTTTCAACATGAGGCACGGTAGAAAGGTCCCGAAACTCAACAGGCCTCCCGATCAAAGGCGGGCCCTCTTACGTGGCCTCACGACTCAACTCCTCAAACACGGGCGCATAAAGACCACGAGAGCTCGAGCGAGTGCCATGCGCAAATATGTCGACAAAATGATCACGATGGCTAAAGATGGCACTCTGCACAAGAGAAGGCAAGCCCTAGGGTTTATTTACGAGAAGCAAATTGTTCACGCGCTGTTTGCCGAGGTTGGGGAGAGATACGGGGAGAGAGAAGGAGGGTATACGAGGATTATAAGAACTTTGCCGAGAAGAGGGGACAATGCGCCTATGGCTTATATTGAGCTCGTCTGACTTCTTTTCCTTTTTGTTTCTATTAAGTATCTTGTACGTACGGTTATGTATTTCAGTGTTTCGGTTAGTTTTGTATTGAGATCTTGTTTTCGGTTAATGTTATGCGCAAAAGTGACGATTTTTTTATTCCTTGGCTAGCTATTTGTTCGATCACGAGAGAAGATAAAATGTGTTATTTGTTGAAGGCAACAACTGCATGTCATACAGTCCTACATGTCAGATATAACACCAAAAGGCTCCTCTCTTCATCTTCAAGATGAACTATCTCGCCCCTTAGGAGATGAGCTTCTTGAGCATCAAAGTGGGGCGCGGGTCGAGAGCTGTCCTTATCGAGCTAAGCTATGTTTTTTTCATTCTTGCTCGAGCTCGACAAAAATATTAACTCCTCGAGGTTGACTAGAAATTTTGTGAACTTTAATTTCACTCTAGTTTAGCTCGAATTTTCAATAAAAGTGGGGATGAACTTCTTGAGCGTCACAGTGGAGCGCGAGTCGAGCACTGGCTTTATTGAGTTGGCTCGGTTTTTTCATTGTTGTTCGAGCTCGACTTGGTTCGACAAAAATATACCAATGCTCGAGATCGACTCGAAATTTTTTAAGCTTGCATTTTGGTCGAGTTATGCTCGANCAATAAAAAAAAAAAAAAAAGAAGACTTTATTCATTTTTTTCAAAAGGCTCGAATTTAGCTCGTATTAGAGGTATTTAGGTATATATCGTTTAAGTTCGAGCAATTCGTGGAGCACTTTAGTTATGACATACATGCTAAAGTTCGATTCGATTTCAAGTTCATGTTCAAGGTGCTTGAGCTCGACTCATGCTCGATTGATCTCATATTCAAGTTGAGCTTTGACTCAAGTTTCCACAAATCGCAAGGGTTGTAAATGAGTCGATCCGAGCCGAGTTGTTAATTCAACGAGCAAGTAATCTAGCTCGAGCTCGACTCAATTAAACGAGCCAACAATCAAGCTCGAACTCGCTCGTTTATCAATACTAACGAGCCGTGTTTGAGCCTTAACGAGCCGAATTATAGAAAATTATATAAAAAAAATTATTTTCGAGTCTTAACGAGCTGCATAGAGCCCGACTCATTAACTAAACAAGTTTTCAATAAACTTAAGCTTGACTCGTTTATCAAACGAGTCAAGCCGAACTCGAGCCTTAATTGGTCGATCTAAGCTTACGAACGACCCATTTTGTTTAACATCTCTACAAACTGCTCAATTCGTTTGCAACCCTAAATGCGCAACGTTATTTATCAAACGGTAAGGGCAACTCCCAAATCCCAATGCATGCAAAGTTTGATGTGATGTGCCAACCATGCTTTCGAGCTCTACACAAATAAAATGATGTGCCAACCATGCTTTCGAGCTCTACACAAATAAAATCAGGTAGAGATATTAGGTATTGTGAGAAGATGAAGAACTGAAAACTGGTTAATGATAAACATAATGCCAAAAACAGTTAGAATATTTCTGTACACACCCGAGCTCATTTTTCATACCCAGCTGTATTTCCTTTTTGCTGTACCTGTGCATGTGAACATGCAACACGTGTAGCTTATTTATTGGTTTTCAGTCTAGGGTTTACAGGGTGTAGGGTTACTGTAGGCTTTATAAATAGCATGTAATTCAGCCTCCTTTATCAATCAATTAATGCTGAAAGATAGATCGAGCAATATGGTTTTTGTTCTTTTGTTCCTCAAGCTTTTTGCACCAATTTCGATCCTCCAATAGTTAATTCAAATTTTTCGATCATCATTAATCCACAAAACTAAAAATAAATATGAAAACATTAACAGTGGACATTTGTGATTGTCATTATTTATTAGCATTGCAAAATGGATCTTACTTCAAAATGTAACAAATATAACTGTGTACGGGAGTGCTCAGGCTAAATATTTATTTTATGAAATTGTAAGATCGAATTATGTTTATGTAATGAATTTTGGACTAGATGAATTATATAATAAATGAAGGTTTATATATAAATAGCTTTCGAATTGCCATAATTCATATGAAGAAACTAACAAAATGTGTATGTTGCATTTATATTATTCCAAAGAACCTATAGGCCATGAATTTGTGTCAAACATGTATTAATTTCCAATCTTACTAATACAATGATATTTTCACCGTTAAATGACATAGGTTTTCTCTATTTTATTTTTTTCTTTTACCGAACAAAATAAATAATTGTAAGACATATAAAGAAGTGTAAATGAGATGAGCTGAGTCCAAACTCCTCAAGCCTTTATCTTGGCACGAGCTCGTTTATTTAAATGAATTTGAGCTCGACTAATTTATCATTATTAACAACCTGAACTTGAGCCGAAATCAAGTTTTAACTAGTACAATACCCGTGTACTACACGGATACTTAAATAAATTAATATTTTAGATAAAAATTAAAATAATTTATATTTTTATTTTAAATTTATGTATGATGAATACACAATAATAATAAATGACTAATAAAGTGATAATTAATTCAAATGATGCCCGCAGTTTTACACTAAATTTGCAAAAAAAAAAATAAATATATTTTTAATTATATTTTTAAAATTATATATGTACAAAACTGATATTATTTACAACTTCATATATTTGATTTATTTTTTTTAAAAACAAAATAAATTTTGTTGTATTGCGATTATGTTTCACATTTAAAAATAAAAAAAATATTTTTAATTATATTTTTAAAATTATATATGTACAAAACTGATATTATTTACAACTTCATATATTTGATTTATTTTTTTTAAAAACAAAATAAATTTTGTTGTATTGCGATTATGTTTCACATTTATAGAGTCAGTGTCTCACGTTTGTTAATTTTTAAAATATTTTAAATACACACAATTAATAATTTAGAATATATGTAGAAATGTATTATTTTATAACTTTACAAAATATAAATTTATTTTACGTTTAATTATGATATTCTTTTATATTTACTATTTTAAATAACATAATAAAATTTAATTTTTTATATAATTTATCTAAATTGCGAAATAACATTTTATAATATTTCTTAAATTTTATTTATGTAATACTTAATTTTTATTTTTTATCCAAAATTTATTGAAAAATAATAAAATAATTATTTTATGGTGTATAGAATTAGATTTTTATTATTTTATAAAATAATTAATATTGTTATATGATGTTTTTTAAATTGAGTTGATAATAAAATTAAATTTATTTATAAGTATGGATGAAATTATTTTTTTTTTATATATGTAATATGGATGTCAAATCGATGATCGTTAAAAGATGATTATTTTGGTAGATCATATATAAAAAAATAAAATATAATAAAAAAGTTGTAAATTTTTTAAAATAAAAAGAATACAAATTTATGATAATTAATATATGAATTAAATAAAAAAGCTAAGGATAGTATATGGTAACTTAAGAAACAATGAAAGCTAAAATAGTTTATGGGAATTTTCAAGCTTAATAGTCAAAACCAAACCTACATGTGTCAATACTAGTAATAATTTATGTCAAATAAGCTTACCAAGCACACGAGCATGTCATTTATGCTCAGCGCATTCGAAAAATTATATATAGGGGCGATGAGACAAACTTGTACTATTTTGGAATACTAATCGCGACTCGTGCGATGCACGGGATTATATATTCTACTCCAATAGTTTAAAAAATTAGCATTGAAATTAATAAACTTGTTATATATGTAACAAAAGTAAAGGGGTCTCAAAAAAAGTTAAAAATCATAAATTATTGAACACTTCCTTGTATACAATTTTTTTCTGTTTAATTTATTGGCGATTTATCGTCTCCACAGATTAATATTTTCAAACTACTTCAATTGGTGATACTGGAGACAACAACGTATAATTGTCCATGGCTGAAAAAACTTACATGCGATAACAATTGTCCTTGGCTCTTGTTTACAATCATGACGTATGAAATAATAATGGGAAACTGACGTCGCCGCTGAAACTTGATGTAGATTTATATGTATCGTCCATTTAATTGATTCTTTTAATTAGTTAATTTTGTTAATCTTTTTATTGATTTGTACGTAAAATTGAAAGCCTGACTACATATTACTTACGCATCTTAAATCATATTTTAAAAAATTAAAATTATTAAACTAAACCAGAAAATTTGACTACATATTAATTATACTAGTTTTTGTCCCGTGCATTTGCACGAAAAACTATATGATACATAAAAAAATAATAAAAATTATAAACAATAATAAAAATCATAACAAATTCATTGAAAAAAATTAAGAAAAAAAATATAAATATTCTTAAACACTTCTTTATAAAATAACGTCGTTGTTTTTCTATCGTCAAAATCTGCCTCAGCTCAAATCAAAATCTTCAAACTCCACTGACTCGTAACTCTAAAAAGCGCCACGTATAATTGCTCATGACTAAATGCAGAGCTCTTCAGTAGTAAGCCGACGTGCGACAGAGACTGTCTTTAACTCTTATTGATCATGGGCAGAAATTCAAAATTGGTCCTACAATTTAGCCACTGTCCAAAAAACCACCCCGATATTGACCACTTTCAATTTAGGTCATATAATTTGTCAATTTCATCAATTTTGGTCCTTTTTTATCCGCACCCTGGATTAAAAAGTGACGTGGCATGAAAAAATGACCAAAATTGATGAAATCGACAAATTATAGGACCAAAATTGACGTGCCACGAGATCATAACCACGCCATGTAAAATTAAAAAACTGACACGTCATGCCACGTCACTTTTTAATCAAGCGTGCTGATGAAAAGGACCAAAATTGATGAAATCGACAAATTATAGGACCTAAATTGAAATTGGTCAATATCGGGGTGGTTGTTTGGACAGTGGCCAAGTTATAGGACCAATTTTGAAATTTTGCCTTGATCATGTCATAGCATAGGAAACACTTCTTTATATTGTTTGTCCTTGACTCTTATTGATTGATAGAGATTGTTCTTGCTTCTTAATAAAAAAAATACCATCTAAATATAAATGAGTAAATATAATATTAATTTTTTATATAAACAAAAAATTTAAAGTAATTGATAATGATAATAGAATTACCCTTGCGGATTCAAGTTATTTCAACGATGTTCTTTTTATATATCTAAGATTTAATTTTTTTTCTGATTTATATGAAATATAAGCACATTTGACTAATTTTTATAAAATTTATTGAAAAAAGTTACTATTTTTTTGAAAAACTGATAAGATATTAAGATAATACTGTACTTAACATAAATGTGGAATTAATTAAAATAAATATTTTTAATTTAGTCATTAACTAATTGAATTTAACTATAAAAAACCTTCTTAAATGTGAGATTAATGAGTAATTAATTAAAAAAATGTAACTTCTTTTGGAGGGAAAGTGAAAATATTTTTATTAAATATTTTATTAAATGGGATTAGCTAGCAATTATATATATATAGATAATTGAAAGTAATTATTAATTTCGACAATTTTTCTAAAGCATATTTCAGTGCAACTTTTTATTAGCAAGCTTGAATATAGCAAAATTGATTATAGGTACGAAATAAATAATATTTCAGTACAAATCAAATTTTTTAAATAATGTCTTCATAAAAAATAAGATTTTAAAAAGTTTTATTTTTTTAATAGTTAATGAATATTGATTTTGAAACAAAGATGTTAAAAGAGAATTGAGAATTCTCAAATAAACATAAAATTAAATCTCCAAGTAACATAATATGACATATTTCATCCAAATCAAAATAGCGAGCATAAATATATTTAACTTTTTAAAGTAGATTCTTTCCAAATTGTTTGCCAATAAAATAGGAAAGTCGATTGAATATTTTATCTATGTTGTATGTACAATTACATCAAGCAGTATGTACAAATATTCCAAAGCGTTTATTGGTGTACAACTAATTCAAATTTTGAATTTTGAATTGGTTTTCCATAAATGGTAAGTCAAATGGATTGACTAATATTTTTTAAAAACTTTCACAAATAATTTATTGACACCATCATTTTTCAATATATATAGTCAATTAAAAATGAGTAATAATTTTCTATAAGAAAACACACACTATTTTGAAAGTAAAAATTAATTTCTAGCATAGATAAGGGGATACTGAAAAAGAAGGCAGATAAGGTTGGTTGTTTGTCTCTTATATTTTTCCTCTATCCTCTTATCTTCTTCCTCCTTCTACCATTGTTAAATTGAAGAAAAAAAAGGAAGATCTTGCTCGTTTGTTTGCTAGCAGTGTCATTTATTTCTTTTTCTTTTTTCAGGAAAAAAGGAGGTGACTAATTGTTGGCAGCCATGTTTGTAGCTTCAACAGCTCTGAACATCGGATCTTTGGGTACCCAGCTGCTAAATCCCCCCGCCCAAAATCCCATCAAACCTTTCTTACACCCACCTGCTAAAAATCCAATCTTGAAATCTTCAAATCCCTTGACGGAGGAAACTGTCCACCCCTGTCAGAAGATCAGTGACCGCCGTCGGTTCTTCCCATCCCACCGACAAGGTGTGTAGATTTCATTTTTTTACACCATTTTTAGCTGTCCCATTTGATTAAGTTTGTGAAATGTTGATCGTGTAATGACTGGTGAACAAAAGCTTTAGTATTTCACCATTTATGTCTTGAATGTGGATGTTGAATGTTTTAAGTGTTTGTGAAAAAAGAAAAAAGAAAAATGGGTTTTATGTTTGTATTGGGTTGTGCTTTTGGTGGCAAATATATTTTGTCATTTGACTATGGTGAATCTTGAATTTTACTTTGGGGAGAATAGGAACAAGAAGAAGAAGCAAGTGGTGGGAGCAAAAAGTCTCATTTTGTCGTGGCCAATGCGAAGTTCATGTTGGATGAGGAGGAGCATTTTAAGGAGCTAATGTTCGAGCCCCTTTGGCTTTTTGGGGAGAGGAACAAGGAGCAAGATTTCTGGCTCGTGATCGAACCCAAATTCTTGAACAAGTTCCCTAATGTTACCAAGAGGCTCAAGAGGCCAGCAGTTGCTCTTGTTTCACAAACGGCCCTTGGATTACGTATGTTGTGTCATTTATTGACATTTGTTGCTCTTCTTTCGAATGCTATTTGAAGTGCACTTGAGGAGTCTATTTCGCGTAAATTTACGCTTTTGGAGGCAGTGATTAATTAAAAGTTTGTGAATAATAACCAAGGGGCTTGAAAATGTTTTTTTTCCTTTTTTCTGTGTGTGTGTGTGTGTAAAATCAAAGAGAACAATATGTTCACCTAATTTTTCTAATCATTGATTTGGGATAACGATAAACTTGAAATATAGAAGATAAAACTAAGCATTTTAAAAAAAAAAAAAATGCAAAACTTATTCTGTAAGCGCTCGTTGTTTCCTTTGTGTTCATTGCATTACTTCACATCTCATATTGTAATTCTCTTCACATACTTTTTATGAATGGTTTGTATACACGGTGTGTAGGTTCATGAAGTTGAGACTAGACAGAGTTTTGCAAGAGAGCTTTGAAGCTGAAAATCTTGAAGAAGCTCTAGTTTCCAATCCAGCTGATCTCGAATTTGAAAAGCTCGAAAAGTGGACAGCTCCTTATGGACCTTATCCCAATTACAAATACGGGTGGTGGGAGCCTTTTCTCCCGCCGAAAACATCCAAGGTATGAAAAAGTGGTCGCCCTTTTTATTTTTTTGTTTTTTTGTTTTTGGTAAGTGTGGTAAACTAGCTTATGTTTGTTAGTTTAAGAGCTTCGTAAAATTCATCTGTACGGTAAAGCAGTAAGCAGAGAAAAATTCATGTCCTGAGACGATTGAGTTTTGTTCCGTATTACTGCAAGTAGTTTTGACTACTCATATGACAGCGAAGTTAACCGAAAGCTCTTATATTATTCACACGACGTGAAGATGTAAAGCAAATCGAACAATTTAGCCATGATCAGACAATGTTGTTCATTCGGTACTTGCTTGCCACCCGAGTGAAACGGAAATAAAAAGTCAACCAACCGTCGAAATTTCAATGCTGGTTATCATCCCTAAAAGGAATGTAAAAGACATAGATATTATAATAACCCTTGTTCTAAAAGATAGTTTTGTATGGATCTTCGGGATAAAAAGATCAAGTAGCTTCATCAGTTTTGCTTATTGTCTGTGATGAAAGGAACTTTCGGTAATTTCTGTAGGACCTTCTCATCCAATTGTCTGTATTGTCTCTTGAGATTGGCCTTTGCCTTCAGGGCATAGTTATCCACTCGATCTTCATGCTTCTCGTATAACGATGGCATTGTCAGTATCATCGCAAAAACTTCAGTCAAAATTCAAAAGAAAAAAAAGTTAGAGAAGGAAGGAAAGAATAATCTCACATAAATCTCAAGGGGGGTTTTTAGTTTGAAGTTTGAAACATTGCTTTTTCACCTTTTCATTTTTTTTTCTTTTTTTGGTTCTTTTTAGTTTTTTAAAGAGAGCACTTACTGATGTATACAATAGTCAGGAAGTCGAACCAGCTGACGAAAACCGAGACAAACCACAGTGCAAATATTGCCTGTAAAGGGGCGGGCCGGTCACGAGCCATGAAATTGAGGCCCGCCGGCCCAGAGATTAGCCACGTCTACATACGGACGGTCTCTTGCTCACCGTCTTTTGCCGGTAGCCAATCTTATTAAATGTGCTTTTAAATCCATGCTGCCATTTATGTCACACACACTACATGCACCACGCCCTATTTCTTCCCTCACTCTCTTTCTCTCTCTCCAATCCAATAATTCTCCTATCTGAAATTCTGAATTTTGCAATTGCCCAGCATTTGAAGTTGTGTTTTTACTATATTTTTTTGTCCATTTTATCTCAGATCTTCGCCATTTTCAAGTTTACTTGTCATTTGTCGTTCACGGTAACCACGCCTTCCCTCTGTATATTGTTAATGAGCTTAATAATAAAAGACACAAACAAAAACACACACGCGCATTTAAAACAAGAAAACAAAATAATGCAGCAGGAATATTGACTTGATAATATTTTCAGTCACGGTGTCCCGAAATTGAAGAGGGAATTGCAAATCAACAAACATAATAGGCTCCAATATAACACGCTCTGTTGATTTATAGCAGTGCATCATACATTAATTTATATAAAAATAATATCATTAAATAACTAAGATATCAATAAATTTCAAATTTTCTTCATCTGAGTTTGAAAGCAAGTTCACTTGAATCCACATTAGTTGCATCATGGTTCATCAGCATGGTTCATGACAATACGAATATTTTCCACAGGATTCCCAATAATATAACCCTGTAACACCAAGAATAACCATGTTAAAAGTAAATATACTGGATAATGACAGCAAAAAGAATGAACTTAGTATCTGGTATTATGGCTACATACAAATCGGCAGTCTCTTCAAAACTGCTGGCACAAAATTAGAAGGTATAGCTTGTCTGGCAAGCATGTTCTTGAATCCAAACTTAGTTCCGGAGTCCGGTAGGAGTGGTTCGATTAAAGAGAATTTTCTTTTACAATTAAAGAGAATTTTCTTTTACAGACAAAAAAAAGGAAAAACTGAGAATAGATCGTTGAAAGTATGTACACTTACCCCATAATCCTTGCATATGTACCTTGTCTTCCACTTTGCTTCTTGTGTAGATAGTCGAATTCAGCACGTCGACTAATTATTTCTTGAAAGATTACATGAGGCTTTCCAATTCCATCAAGCTAGAAAATCACATAAAATTTAAACTAAAATCATGTTTTTTTCCAGCTAAAGACTTAAATGGGTGTGTAAGAAGACACCTTGTACTCACTCCGCATGCACATCCAAATGGGGTTCGTCCATTCCAGAGATAATAGTCTGCCGACAAAAATGATTGCAATGAAAATAACACTTTTTTGTCGTATGCATTCAAAAATATCTCGAATTTTATGGAACATATAATACTGAACCAACATGCGTCGTACCGAACCAACATGCGTCGTACCTGGCCACTCTCAGGTCTAAACCGACGGAAAGTGGGGTCTTCTTTCTGAAAGCTATTCAGAGCTTTGGGAAACTGCCAAAATGAACATTTATATAAGCAGAAACATCTATGTGTTGGTAATCCAATGTTTACAGGATATAATAAAACAAAATAGAAAAAAAAAAGTGTCACATTTTCTCCAAAACATTGTGCTGATATAACTAATGACATAAGTTGCTCAAGCATTCATGGAGGTCATTGTATCTAGTAACGCAAAAGAAAAAACAAATGCAATAAAGATTCAGATGGTGAACTAGCACATTCAACAATGCGAACTAGCAAATGCTAGTTTACCATCTGAATTTTTATTGCATTTGTGCCTGTGCTAGTTTTCCATCTAAATTTTTATTGCATTTGCTTTTTATTTGCATTACTAGGGACACATTTACGGATTTGTCAATTAGATACATAATGATCTCCATGAATGTGCTTGAGCCACTTATGTCATTAGTCATATCAGCAGAATCTCTCAGAGAAAATGTGAGACTTTTTGTTTTTTCTATTTTGTTTTATTATATATTGTAAACCTTGGCTTTAACAACATTTCCGCTCATATAAATGTTCATTTGGCAGTTTCCTAAAGCTCTAAATAGCTTTCAGAAATGAAATATCCCACTTTCCGTCGGTTTAGACCATGAGAGTGGCCAGGTACGACGATTCCATGTTCCGTAAAATTCGAGATATTTTTGAATGCGTACGACAAAAAAAAGTGTTGTATTTTCATTGCAATAATTTTTGTCGGCAGACTATTATCTCCATTTGGATAAATATGTCGAGTGCATGCGGAGGTAGTACAAGGTGTATTCTTACACGCCCATTTAAGTCTTTAGCTGGGGAAAAAACATGATAGTCTAAATTTTATGTGATTTTCTAGTTTGATGAAATTGGTCATGTAATCTTTCAAGAAATAATTACTCGGCGAGGATAAGGTCAATATGCAAGGGTTATCGGGTAAGTGTACATACTTTCAGCGATCTATTCTCAGTTTTTTTTTGTCTGTAAAAGAAAACTCTCTTTACGATAAAGAAAACTCTCTTTACGATAGGTATATCGAACCACTCCTACCGGGCTCCGGAACTAAGTTTGGATTCGAGAACATGCTTGTCAGACAAGCTATACCTTGTAATTTTGTGCAAAAGGGTTTTAAAGAGGCTGCCGACTCGTATGTAGCCATAATACGGTTCGTTCTTTTTGTTGTCATTATCTAGTATATTTACTTTTAACATGGTTATTCTTGTTGTTACATGAATTATCTTATTGGGTGTGGAAAATATCCGTATTGTGATGAACCATGCTGCAGCTAATGTGGATTCAACTGAACTTGCTTTTAAATTTGCAGCCAATGTGGATTCAACTGAACTTGCTTTTGAATTTGCAGCCATAAATGCTTTTATGTGCTTAAAAGTCAAACTCAGATGAATCAAATTTGAAATTTATTGATATCTTTTAGTTATTTAATTATATTATTTTTATATATATTATGTATGATGTAGTGCTATAAATCAGCAGAGTCTGTTATATTGGAGCCTATTATCTTTGTTGATTTGCAATTCCCTCCTAAATTTCGGGCCACCGAAGATATTATCAAGTCAGTATTCCCTGCTGCATTATTTTGTTTGTTTCCTTGTTTTAATTGCGCGTGTGTGTTTTTGTTTGTGTCTTTTATTATTAAGCTCGTTAACAATATGCAGGAGGGAAGGCGTGATTACCGTGAAAGACAAATGACAAATGGTTGGGTGATTCTTGCAACGGTGAGTATTTGTTCTATTTCCTGTTACTTTATGAGATTCTCATTAAATTTTCCAATCTTAAGATTTTCTGGAGATCGATCCTAGTATTTGTTGGGTTATCTGTTTATCACCAAGTCATTGGGTTATCTGTTTATCACCAAGTGAATTTGTTCTATACAGTGTTAGGCTACTGAAAATGAATTATATTAGATGAAACATATGGTAAAATTGATGTTAGGCAAACTCAACGGTTAGAGTGTTGTGTTAGACAGCCGTATTTTTTTTAACAAATATGTATACTTTTATGTTCGAATCTCATATGTTAATGTTTAAACAACAAACAAAAGCATGTCTATGAACCGCTTAACTGTTAGGCTGCCGAGAATTGGCGTGAAGTTCATTTCGAATCTCATATGTTAATGTTTAAACAACAACAATGTTGTGCTCAGATTGTTGGTGAATGCCCAAAAGGCGGCTACCTAAAGGGGAGACAATTTCTCTGTAATTCTTGGAAGAATAATTTGATTTTCCTTTTCCATAATTTAATCCCTAACTGAACGTGCAATTTGATTCCGTTTGCTGTTTTTTTTATTCAGATGCATAAATTTATTTTGGTACACCAAATTGGCAGTTGGTTTTGTAACAGCGATTTTCATTTGTTTTGTGTGATGTGAGAAAATTCTGTGTTTCTTTATTGTGCATAAGAGTGTTCATTACGCAATGTATGAGTGATCTCATGAGTTGAATGGACTGCGGGTTTCATTATCGGGCTTTGATTAATTTCGTAAAGTTGGGTACCTTAGGATAGAATTGTGGCAATCGTAGAAGACTGAAGAGGAACATGAGAGATGTGCGGTTTGTTCCTTTTTGTTGTTTTAGATTCAGATTTGTGAATCTATTTTTGCTGGAATTCACCGTACGTAATTGTCATTGATTTTGAGACAACCGTTCTTTGTTTTGTGTGTGCGTGATGTATAAATTTTTTGTTTGATTTTTCCACAACTGCTGCTTGTTAGGCTTAGTTTCACGAAATTTACTATGCGTGCATTCATGCTCTTACACCGTATTTCTGCAGTTTCATTTTTGAAAAACATTGCTCAACTTCAAATTCACATACTTTTTTCATTACCAAATATTTTTCTCAATGTTGTGCTCGGTTTGATTGTGCTTAAATTTTATTTAAATTCCAATTTCAATAGATACGAGCACAACTTCCCCATGTTCAGCAATGGGTGCCGATTTTTCAACATGAGGCACGGTAGAAAAGTCCCTAAACTCAACAGGCCGCCCGACCAGAGGCGGGCCCTCTTACATGGCCTCACGACTCAACTCCTCAAATACGGGCGCATAAAGGCCACGAGAGCTCGAGCGAGTGCCATGCGCAAATATGCCGACAAAATGATCACGATGGCCAAGGATGGCACTCTGCACAAGAGAAGGCAAGTCCTCGGCTTTATTTACGAGAAGCAAATAGTCCGCGTGCTTTTTTGCCGAGGTTCAGAAGATGCGGGGAGAGAAGAGGGTATACCAGAATTATAAGAACTTTGCCGAGAAGAGGGGACAATGCTTCTATGGCTTACATCGAGCTCGTCTGACTTCTTTTCCTTTGTTGCTATATGTATCTTGTATGGCTATATATTTCAGTGTTTCAGTTTGTATTGTATTTAGATATTGTTTTCGGTTAATGTTATGCACAAAAGTGACGTATTTGCTTCAACAACAACAACATATCCAGTATATTCCCAACAGGTTGGGACGAATTTGCTTCCTTCAACAGAAAATAAAATGTTATTTGTTGAGGGACCAAAAGGCTCCTCACTTCGTCTTCAAGATGGACTCTCTTCGCCCCTTGGGAGACGTGCTTCTTGAGCATCAAGTCAAAGTAGAGTGTGAGTCGAGTATTGGTCTTATCAAGCTAAACTAAAGTTTTTTTTCTTTGTTGCTCGAGCTCGACTTTTTAAGGATAGGATAGGATAGGCTTGACAAAAATACACAAATGCTCTAGGTCGACTTGAAATTTTGTGAGCTTGAACTTCATTTTAGTTCAACTCGAATTTCAATAAAAGTGGGAGACGAACTTCTTGAGCATAAGTGGAGACAATGCGGGACTTTATTACCAATCTGGTTCCAATCTGTTTAAATACCAATCTGGTTCCAATCTGTTTAAATACCAATCTGGGAGCTTTGTCTTCTGTTTTCCTTTAAATACCACTAGTACAACATCCGTGTACTACACGGGCATTGAAATAAATAATATATGCATAAAAATATTTAATTAAAAAAAACTATTAGTTATTTTTTTTATTAATTAAAAATATTTGCATACAAAAAGCTAAATTTTTTATTTTGGTATTTCGTGAGTTACGTTTAAATTAATCCTATTTATTTTTTATTTTGGTATTTCGTGAGTTACGTTTAAATTAATCCTATTTATTTTTTATTTTGGTATTTCGTGAATTACGTCTAAATTTTTTATGATAATATTAAGCAAGAAATCATATTTATATTTTTATAGATATTCTAAAAAGATTTAAATAATTTATTTACCATTGAAAAGATTTAAATAATTTTTTTTACTATTAGTTATTTTTTTTATTAATTAAAAATATTTGCATACAAAAAGCTAAATTTTTTATTTTAGTATTTCGTGAATTATGTCTAAATTAATCCTATTTATTTTTTATTTTGATATTCGTGAATTACATCTAAATTTTTTATTATAATATTAAGTAAAAAAAATCCTATTTATATTTTTATAGATATTCTAAAAAGATTTAAATAATTTATTTACCATTGAAAAGATATAATACCCAAGTGGTTATATATGTGTCCAATTTATTTTTGTAGAATTATAGTATTTTTTTTTAATTTAAACTATATAAAAAGTTATTGTTTACATTAATATATAAAAAAGTATTTTTGGGCCGTTGGTCTCTGTGCACCCGAGTGTTAATTTATTACTCCATGGAGTCCGACACTTGGGTATTACTCTGTTGGGGTCTTGTTTAGTTTTGTTGGTGTAGTTGGTCTAGTGTGGTTGTGTTTTTTTGTTGGTTTTTGTGTGTTGCCCGAGTATTACCCCGTTGGGGTCGGCTCTAGGCGATCTCTGGATCTGCCTCCTAGTTTTCTAGTCTTTGGTTGTACTATTCAGCCTTTGGCTTGCTTTTTCTTCGCACTTTGTGCGGTTTTTATTAATATAGTACCTCTATTGTTTCCGAAAAAAAAAACATTAATTATATAAATAAAATAATATATAAAGCTAAATTTTTTATTTTAGTATTTCGTGAATTACGTCTAAATTTTTTGTTATAATATTAAGAAAAAATCCTATTTACTTAAATTTTTTATTTTGGAGTTGAGGGGATAAGCCGAACCATAATGTTGCCAAGTAAGCTTCCGAAGCGTGCGAGACAACCATATTTTGGAGTTAAAAGACTTTGGAGTTGAGGGGATAAGTCGAATCATAATGCTGCCAAGTAAGCTTCCGACGCGTGCGAGACAACCATTTAGACTCAGCACGTTTTTAAATTATATTAAGAGCCAATTTAAATACCAATCTGTTTATCAATCTGTTTTCATTTCTTTCTTATCATTTAAATACCAATCTGTTTTCCTTTCTTTTCCAATGTGGGAGCTTTGCCTTCTGCAATGACTTTATTAATATTTTTTGCCTTTGCTTTTATCTTCTTTCCTTGTCTTGATTTTTTTTTTCGCCCAGCACGTTAGTTTGGTGTGGATACACATCAACTTATTTGAGGTTTTTATAATTTCAAAATGTATCAATAATTGAATATGTGTCGTAATTTGTAAATATTTTGATAAATAAAAAATGAAAAGAATAAAAATATAAAATTTAATTTAAAAGTTAAAATACAAATTAGTTGTATGCATAAATTTTGATTTAAAAATTAAATACAAATTAGTTGTATCTATTCTCTATTATGCAACTTAAATAAATATAGATCAAAATCTATCATTATATAAAAAGAATAACATTTTTACAAATTTAGCAAGTTTTTCCCGCCAATATCATTAAATGTATTCTATATATAGTAATTGTTGGTCAATTTTGAATATGCAAAAAAATCGTCTGTTTTCTTTTTCCTCTTTTTTTGGTACTCAAAAACCGTCGGTAGTATATATCTGTTTTTCTTTTTCCTGTTTTTTTGGTACTCAAAACCGCTGGTAAATATTTATATTTCTTTTATCGGTTTGTATGGTACTCAAAAACTTATCCCTTATTTAAAAAATAAAATACGGCCCATTTATTTTTCATCGGTCTAATTATCAATATTTTTACAAATATTATAAACTAACAATACATCCTCAATAACAACGTAAAAAGTATAATAATAATTTTAAAATTGTGTGTAATCAAATTTTGTTAGATGGAAGTAACACCATAAATTCAGTATCATCTAAAAATTAGGCTTATAACATTTTAGATATTTTAAACAAATTGTTTAGACATTCTTTTTACATATTCGTCTATATATACATACATATATATATGTACACACACATATACATAATTGATGTTAAATTTAAATATTTGTAGACATGTTTTCTTTACAAAACAGTCTAGAATTTTTTTTTTTATACAATGTTAAATTCAAATGTTTTTAGATATGTTTTCCTTCTAAAATTGTTTAGAAAAGTTGTAGGTGACTTCACATCTTGCAAAAACAATATAGAAAATTTTGAATACTTTTACATATACTAATATAACATTTTAGGTGTTTTAATATTAAACATCCAAATTGTATATTCTCTTATACAAAATAATGTAAATTTTATTTTCTCTTATACAATATAATTTTACATTGTTTGATTCGAATCTTTATATTATAATTATTAAGTATTTTTTATCCTCCTCTTTAATTTATAATTATTTTTTTTTCTTCCTCTTTCTGTATATAATCAACTGTAGTTTCCACTTAGTAACTCAAACTCGAGGTCTATTTATAATATTGTAAATTTAATATTGTTTTCGTGCATCGCACAGGGCACACACTAGTATAAGAAAAAAATTATCAATATTATTCAACCTTGTCGACCGTATCTATTATTGAACTCTTATTTAGATAAAAGTTATTATAAACTATAAAATTAATGATAAAATCATATAAAATAATATATTATTATTCATATAATATAAAGAGTTGAAATAGTTATACAACAACATGCGTTTTTTTCTATTATTTTATGTTTTATATTTTTTTTTCAAACAACCCGTGTAGTACACGGGTGTCGTACTAGTATTAATTAAACCGGTTCGATCGGTTTGATCACTGGTCCGACCAATGAACTATTGAATTGATAGTTTCACCAGTTCAATTACCGTTTCGGTTTTTAAAACCTTGTTTGCAACCATAAATGTGAGACATTCTTTATAAATGGCAAGGGTAACTCCCAAATGTAAGAAATTTAACGGGTATATTCATAACAATTAGGCGGAATTGAATAAACCCTAAACATGTAATTCTATCAATTCATAGAACATGGATCTTTTGTATAAATTAAATTGCACATAGAAACTTACAAGTATCCATTAGTCCTTCCCTGTTCTTGTATGTCTGGCCGATCGTGGATTATGTTTCTCTCTCCCGCTTCTCTCGTCTTTTCACAAAGCCCTTGATGTTGAGAACTTTATTTGCGTATGAGATGGGAGAGAGGGGCATGTAGTATATATAGGAAGATGAGACTTACAATCCTAATTTCTTTATAGTCCCACTTTTCTTTAATGGTGTTGTAGTTCACCTGGAACTGGCCAAACTCGGCAGGTAGGGAGCTCATGATAAATTGAACCAGAAATGAGTCGGTCACCTCCATTCCCATGTTTGATAGTTTAGCTGATATGTTGGACATGTGGGTTACGTGATCATGGATGGAGCGGGACCAGTCAAACTTTATAGTGGTGAGTTCGCCCATAAACTTCCCCACAATTGACTTGTCCGCAATTTCAGATTGAGATAGTTCCTTAATCATTCCTAGGAAGTCTTTCGCATTGTCAGCCTTTGGCATTGAAGATTTAATGTTATCCGCCATGGTTAGTTTCATAAAATTCAAGCACAACCTGTTTGATCGCTCCCAAACCATACGAAGAGATACCTCTTCTTCGGAGCTTTCATCAGTAATGGTTGCGGGTATTTCATCACTAACTAGAGCCATATCCAAATTCATAGCACCTAACTGAAAATGGATGTGCTCAGACCATTCAGTGAAGTTCATTCCATTGAATTTTTCAACCATAATGCCGGACGGAAAACCGGAGTTAAGTGCTGCAAAATTTAATACATGCTATTAGATTATGCTTTGATAAAATTTATGGATTCGGAAATATTTTAGATTATATATTTAAATAACCTTTGGACAATACTTAAATATATAATGTATTTAATTGATGTCTAAGAGGAAATAATCTTTAATAGAAATTATAAGAATTGTGATTAACTAGTGGTTATCTTTGGACAAACACACTAATTAACCTAACTTTAATATAATTTCTCTTTATTGTCATATATTACAAAACATGGCCC